CGGCTCGGGACGGGACCGAGCACAGGCCGCGCGGCTCCCCGGACGGGACTCCAGCCCGGTGAGTATCCCGGAGCCCGCGTCCCGAAAGCCCGCGTCCCCCTCCCCCTGTGACTGTCCCGGGGTCCCCACCCCTCACGCTTCGTTTCCCCCAGGTTTTCCCGGGCTCCCACGACCCTCGCCATCCTCCGAGCCGCCCTCCTGCGGCTCTGTCCCACTAGGTCGCCCTACACGCTGCAGCCCCAAGCGTTCCCCAGAGACGTCCCCGGGACTCTCCCTGCCTGGGACAGCGCCCGGGACCCCACCTCTGCCCACACCCCAAGCCCGGCTCCTGCGGCGCCCTCCTCCTGCCGACCGCTTTCCTTTCCCAACCCTTCAAGTGTCCTTGCGAGTTCACAGATTTCTGCCCTGTTGGCTTCCCCACCTCGGCTAGTGGGCAAGCCTCAAGCTGGGCCCTGCGTCCCTCTGACACGCCCCGTGGATCGAGCGCGACCCACTTGGGTCCCAGCCCCCTGGTTCTGCCCCTGCCCAGCCCTGGGGTCGCCCTTCTCCAAGGAGCCCTGGATTCTTCCAGCGGGGGTGATGTTTAGACCTTAGGCTGACTGAGACCTAGTTCTTTGAAAAAGATGTGCCTGGCTGTGGAGGTGCATGTCTGTGATCCCAGCACTGGGGAGGCTGAGGCAGGAAGATCTCCTGGAGTTCAAGGCCAGAGTAGGCTACATAGCAAGATCCTGTTTCCAAAAAAAAAAAAGAAAGAAAGAAAGAAAGAAAGAAAGAAAGAAAGAAAGAAAGAAAGAAAGAGAGGAAAATAGGAGTTCTATCTTACAGGGTGATGAAGATGAAAAAAGCAGCAGCCACCTCAGCCCCATTTCTCACCCCTTCTCGGAGTCCCCCCATACTTCTCACCTCCCAGCACCCAAGGACCCCTCCTCCCCTACACGTTCACAGTCACCACCTCCTGCATGAGCCACTCGTCTTGCCTGTCTTTCATGTAGCAGCTCGACGGTCAGCCCTAGCTCGGCATGGTGGTGCGCACCTATAATCCCACTACCCAGGGAGGCTGAGGCAGGAGGATCACGTTTGAACTCATGATGGGCAAGTTTGCAGTTTAGGGAGACCCTGTCTCAAAATTTAAAAAAGAAAAACAAAAAGCTCCGAGCTTTGCTGACCCCGTGGCCAGTTTTTCCTGCCCTCCTCTTGATGCCTGGCGTTTTCCTTTCTTTGTTGTCGTTTGGTTCTTTTTCCGGTACCGGAAATCGAACTCACAACCTTGCGCTTGCCAGGCAGGCACTGTGCCGCTGAGCTAAATCCCCAGCCCCTGCCTAGCGTTTTCCTGGTGTCACTGGCAGCCTGGTGCCCAGCTCCTGCCTGGGGGCTCCTGGCAGGTGGCCCTGGGTCTACAGCATCAAGGAGGGACAGGAGATGTGCCGGGTGGCGCAGAGACCCGGGGATGCATTTCTTCCCGGCAGCTCGCTCTCCTGTGTCCCTCCTGGGCTCCCACCAGCGGCTCCTTCCCAGCCAGCCCTCTGTTCCTCGCCTGACCCATCTCCTCCTGCTCCTCTCCGCCTGCCCAGCCCTCTCCAGGCCGCCGCCGTCAGCGCGCTCCGCTCCCTGGGACCCCGCAGGCAGCTGCTCCCCGCCTCGGCTCCCTTAGCAGCGACCCCCGTGCGGCCACCATGTTCAGCTGGCTGAAGCGGGGCGGGGCCCGGGGCCAGCAGCCCGAGGCCATCCGTACGGTGACCTCGGCGCTCAAGGAGCTGTACCGCAGCAAGCTGCTGCCGCTGGAGGAGCACTACCGCTTCGGCGCCTTCCACTCGCCCACCCTGGAGGACGCCGACTTCGACGGCAAGCCCATGGTGCTGGTGGCCGGCCAGTACAGCACGGGCAAGACCAGCTTCATCCAGTACCTGCTGGAGCAGGAGGTGCCCGGCTCCCGCGTGGGGCCCGAGCCCACCACCGACTGCTTCGTGGCCGTCATGCACGGCGACACCGAGGGCACCGTGCCCGGCAACGCCCTGGTTGTGGACCCCGACAAGCCCTTCCGGAAGCTCAACCCCTTCGGGAACACCTTCCTCAACAGGTGCGGCGCCAGCGGCCGGGGGCCTGGGGCGGGGGCTTCGGACGGGGAGCCCGGGGAGGAGCGCGGGGAGCAGCGCGGGGAGGAGCGCGGGGAGCAGCGCGGGGAGCAGCGCGGTCCCTCCCTGGCCCCGGCCTCCGCCGTGCAGGGCTCACTGCGCGTCTCTCCGTCCCCGCGGCCGCCCCATCTGACCCACCTGCCCGCCCCCAGGTTCATGTGCGCCCAGCTCCCCAACCAGGTCCTGGAGAGCATCAGCATTATCGACACCCCCGGCATCCTGTCGGGCGCCAAGCAGCGAGTGAGCCGCGGTGAGTGGGGGTGCCGCCTGCGCCGGGCCCAGGACCAGCTCTGAGGGAGGACCCCGGCCGCGCGGGGCGGGCGGCAGCGGGCTCTTCGAGAGGCTGTGATTTCGTGTGGGTGCTGCGTGCTGGGTGCTTGGGACGCATGTGCGGGACGCGTGTGAGCGGCGGGCACAGGCCTGGGCCGGCTGCGGCAGGGCGGGGGAGGGCGGGGAGAGCAGCCTCGAGGCCGGGGTTCGGTGACTCGAGTCAGGAGAATCAGAGCGGCCCGGCCTGGGCCGCAGATGGGGCCCGCAGGGCGGGGAGGGGAATCTGGGCCGCGGCCAGGGCCGGGCCTGGAATTTATAAACAGCTGCGCAGGGGGAGCAGCGGGGTGAATTCCAGCGGGGCCTCGGGGGAGCCGCCCCACCCGCCGCCCACGGCTAGGCCTGTGCCCCGCCAACGGCGGCACCAGCGTCGGCCCCCAGGATCTCCCCGCACCCGGCACCTGCCCACCCCCCTCCCAGCCTTGCAGGCCCGGAACCAGGGCAAAGGAGGCGGCAGTGTGGGGCAGAGGGGACCCAGGGAGGCCAGGGCGGGGCGGGGACGCCCAGGGTTCCGTGTCCCTGGCCCCCGTCCAGTGGCACAGCCGCAGCGGGAGAGGCAGGAGGCAGCTGTGGGAGCCGTGGGAGCTGGGCTGAGGACACGCTGCCAGCCAGAGAGGAATTCCTGGGGCTCCCGCCCTGGGCCGGCGGGGGACAGCCAGGGAGCCTGTCCCCAAGTCCCTGCCAGGGCTGCGGGGAGTGGAGAACGAGGTCTCCTTCCCTGGCTGGGGGGAACAGGAAGAGGAGGCCCGGGGTTGGTGTGTGTCTCTGACCTCCTGTGTGTCCTGGGAAAGTGTGTCACTGGGTGTGATGATGTGGAGGCTCCGTGTGTGTGTGTGTGTGTGTGTGTGTGTGTGTGTGTGTGAGATGTGGCTGTGCGAATAGGGCACTGTGGGGGGCCGAGGGGGCATTGTGGGCCCTTGTGTGACAATCTCTGCATACGGCCATATGATGAAACGTGTGCAGGAGACCGTGTGTCTGAGCAGCTTCTGCGTACCTGGGTAAAGTAGCGTGGGTCTGGGGCAGTGTGGAGCATGGGCGTGAGTGTGCCTGTGAGGTGGCCCGGGCAGACCTGTGTCTGCGTGTGCCCTTCTGTGGTTATGGAGGACCGGAAGGGACAGAGAGAATTTATTTTTTTTGAGACAGGAGCTTGCTCTGTAGCCCAGGCTGGCCTCGAACTCATAGCAATCCTCCTGCTTCAGCCTCCTGAGTGCTGGGATCGCAGGTGTGCGCCACCGCACCTGGCAGAAAGAGAGGCTCTTTGGACAGTGGTGCCCTGCGTGCATATGCGTGTGACAGCATGTGTGCGGGAGTGTCTGTGCAACTGTGATTGTGCCTGTGGGTGCCTTTGGATCCGGGAGGGTGTGGGTGTGTGTATGGTTGTGTCTCTGAAGGACAGTGGATGTGCAGGGGTGCTTCCAAGTGCGTGCTGGTGTCTCTGTGGTTGTGAGTGTGAGTGTCAGTGTGGGTGTGCGTGCGGGATGGTGAGCATGGGCGGCCCGGAAGCTCCTTGCAGTGTGTGGCTGTGATTGTGTCCTGCTGAGTATGCTCTGCTGGGTGTGTGGCCCGCTGCGTGCAACATCCGTGAGCACCCTGGTGGGAGATTCTGGCCTCGTGGGGCTCTCGCCGACTTCTGGTCTGGGCTCTGCTACTCTTTTTTGAGACAGAGCCACGCTGTGTAGCCCAGGCCGGCCTTGAACTTGTGGTGGTTCTCCTGCTTCAGCCTCCGAGGGCTGGGATCACAGGCATGTGCCACCACACACCCAATTTAGGCTCTGCTACTTTAAACTGCGCAACTTGCCCGCGCCACTTGCCCTGTGCCTGGCTCTCCCTGTGAATGGGAACAGTGACACTCTCACCCTGGCTTGTAGGAAGGGAACAGAGCTGGCGCACCGTGGGCGCTGTGGGGTCCGGGGTGGGGCTTATTTCCCTGTCCCCCCACCGCCACGTCTGTTCTCAGTGAATCAGCCTCTCCCCCGTCCCTCCCGGCCCACCCCGTGAGACACACTTTCCAAGTCCTCCGGGCTGTGTATGTGCAGGCGCGTGTGTGTGTACCAGCCCTTCCTCCCCGAAACAACGCCCCTCCCACCTTACCACAGCGCCAGGAAGCCTGGGCAGGACCAGGACCGGGCCACATGTGGGGCTGTCCCGCCTCTCATCCTGTCGCCTCCTGCCTGTGTGTCTCATCTAAGCCCCTTAGTCTTTCATGCCTCAGTTTCCTTGTCTGGAAAATGGGGTCACAAAAATGCTGCTATACCGGGGACTGTGAGCCCATAAACTCAGGGTTGGCACTGCCCCAGGGTCCGTCCCCCTCCCCCAGAGCGGGCAGCTAGGGAAGGTTCCAGAGACACCTGGTGGAGGCCAACAGGTCCAGGTCTAACCCTTGTGACTCGGCTGCTGTGCTCCTACTACCTGGTCTCCTTTTCGTTTTATTTGTATTTTGCAGTACTGGGAATTGACCCCAGGGCTTTCATGTTGAGCTACATCCCCTCCACCCTCACTTTTTTTTTTTTTTTTTTTTGAGACAGGCTCTCACTAAGTCACTAAACTGTCCAAGCCAAGATAGGATTGGAAATGATGACCGTCCTGCCTCAGCCTCCCAGAATGCTGGGATTATAGGCATGCACTACCATGGCTGGCTTCAGCGCTATTTTTATTTTCTTAATAGCTTATTGAGGTATAATTTATGTGCCATAAAACTCACTCATTAGTGTGCAGCTTGATGTCAGCCATTGTTTTAAACTCTTTACCTCCATTAGCTCATTCATGTGCTTTTCATATCTCCCCTTCGCCCTGGGAGGGAGGTGCTGTTAGGATTTCCCATGTGTTAAAAGAGGAAAGAAGTTCAGAGAGATCTCCATACTTAACTTTCCTGAGGTCACAGGGCTGAGCAAGAATTCACACTCAGGTGTGCCTGTCTGCCAGGTGGGGAGGTCTCAGTCACAAGCTCTGCTTGGTTTTTGGTTTTGCCTTTCAGGTTTTGTTTGTTTGTTTGTTTTGAGACAAGGTTTTGCTGTGTGTTCAGAATGGCCCGGAGGGGCGCGGTGATGGAGGCCTGTGGTGGGCCAGGAGTCTGCAGAAGTGTGGGGGTCTCTAGAAAACCCGCGAGCCAGGGTGCTGGGACACACCGGAGATCTCAGCTATTTCGCATACACCAGGATGTGGATAGTTAACAACCTGAGCACCCTTACGGTCCAATGTCAGTTCCAAAAGAATGGATGCCCTTGCGGGGGGGGGGGGGGCTGACGTCCGCCCCCCACCCATCGCCCGCAGGCTACGACTTCCCGGCAGTGCTGCGCTGGTTCGCCGAGCGCGTGGACCTCATCATCCTGCTCTTCGACGCGCACAAGCTGGAGATCTCGGACGAGTTCTCCGAGGCCATCGGCGCCCTGCACGGCTACGAGGACAAGATCCGCGTGGTGCTCAACAAGGCCGACATGGTGGAGACGCAGCAGCTGATGCGCGTGTACGGCGCGCTCATGTGGGCGCTGGGCAAGGTGGTGGGCACGCCAGAGGTCCTGCGCGTCTACATCGGCTCCTTCTGGTCCCAGCCGCTCCTCGTGCCTGACAACCGGCACCTCTTCGAGCTGGAGGAGCAGGATCTGTTTCGCGACATCCAGGGCCTGCCGCGCCACGCGGCGCTGCGCAAGCTGAACGACTTGGTGAAGCGCGCGCGGCTGGCCAGGGTGAGCGCAGCGGGGGCGGGGCCGGGCGGAGCAGGCGCTGCCGACCCGGGGTGAGGGCGCGATCTGCACGCGGGCCGTTCCGTAGGGAGGGGCTGGGGGTGGCCATACTCGTCTCTGCTCACCGCTGTATCTTTGGTTTCGGTTTGGTTTTTTTGGTACCGGGAATCGAACTCACAACCTCGCACTTGCCAGGCAGATGCTTTGCCGCTGAGCTATATCCCTGGCCCCTTGTTTTGTTTTTTGAGACAGGATCTCACTATGTAGTTCAGGCTGACCTTGAACTCATTATGTAGCCCAGGCTGCCCTCAAACTCACAGTGATCCTCCTGCCTCAGCCTCCCCAGCGCTGCGATTACAGGCTGGCGTGCCACCACAGCTGACAGTCAGCTTGTATCTTGTCTCCCCTCTGCCCATGGCTCCCATGACCCCTATCTCGGAAAGCCAGGTCCTCCAGGTGGCCTACAGTTCATGTGCTTGCTCCAGTCCATCGCCTCTGCCCGCATCTCCCGTTCCCTTCCCATCATCCCTTGCATGGCACCCCTAGCCCTGCCCCAGGGCCTTTGCACTCGCTGTCCTTTCTCCTGGAAACCTCTTCTCCCCGTCTGCTCTCCCCTCCCCCTTGCCCCCCGAAGGGCAGGCACACTCTGAACTTGTCAGACCTTTATCACATGCCACCTTACCAGGAGGCCTGTCCTTGCCCCCCCCTGTTTTTGTGGGTCCTGCTCCAGCCCTAACCCTGCTGGAGTTCTGCGCCCAGGGCCAGCGCTTCCCCCTTGTGTCAGCCGCTCTTGGCGGTCTGTGTTTGCCGTCTGCCTCCTCAGCTCCTCTTAAGTTCCACAGAGCCAGGGGCTTTGGAAGTCCTCCAGGATGAGTTCCAGAGCTTGGACAGACTGGAGCTCGGTACATATTTACTGACTGAGAAACTAGACAAACCCTGAGCTTCACCACTCCCCCAGGACAGTGACAGCCGTGGTTGGCCAGGGCTGGGGCAGGTCGCCCAGGGGAGGCGAGGAGGGCTTCCTGGAAGAGAGGGCGCCCGGGAGACGTTGGTTGAGCCCAGCGTAGACCTCACGGGTCACTCCCTCTGAGGCTGGGCTCTTGCGGGCTGTGCCAGGGCATTGCGGAGCCACTGCAGGTTTCGGGGCAGGGGCAGGATGGGGTGAGACGCAGGCTGGCCTCGGGAGGGGGCATTCAAGGTGGGGGAGGCCAGGGCGGAGGCTGCAGAAGGAGCCGGGGTCGGGTCGGGCCTTGGGAGGGAGAGGCCAAGCGGGGCAGTCACCGGGGAGGCGGCCAGGGCGCCGCTGAGGTGCTGGTTTAAGGACGGGGAGAGGGTGAGTCAGAACCCCTCCGCCCCGGGAACCCTGCCCCGAGCCAGCGGTGTGCGCAGCGCTGGGAGCTCGCCCGGCCTCGGCTCCCTCCCCTCCGGCTCCTCCTCTCTCCCGCGCTTTCTCCAGCGCGGCCGTCGGGCTCCTCCTCTCTCTGGCTTCCTTGCCCTCCATCTCCAGGTCCCTGGGGGATGCAGGGCGGGAGCTGGAGCGCGGGGACCGGGACAGGGGGGCCTGGCAGGCCGGACACCTGGTGCCCCTCTAGGCAGGAGGCGGCTCCGGAAAGCCGGACAAACCCCGGAGCCGCCCCGCGCCCCGGCCGGCCGCCCACCTTATCTCTTCCTGGCACCTTCCCCCGCTTCCTCCCTGGAAAAGCCATCAGCGCCGCCAGCCCCACCAGCCCCTGGCCTCCGCGGGCTCCGCCCCCTCCACGCCATTGGCTGGCTCCCGCAGGCCCTACCCACCAACCTGGTCACGCCCCTGCCCCATTGGCTGACAGGGAGCGGGAGAGTAGGAGCTGATGGAGATCTGGGGGAGGAGCTGTCGGGACAGCGCTGGCAGCATGTGCAGAGGCCCTGGGGCAGCAGCATGCTGGCCTGAGCAAGGTGCCTCAGTGGTTGGAGGAGACAGCTGGAGGCCATGGGAACTGTTACATTCTAAACCCATCATTATTGCTGTTGCGGGGCTGGGGACAGAATGCCTGGCCTTCACGCTGAGCCACACCTTCAGCCTTGTCTTTTTTTATATATTTTTATTTTATTTTATTTTATTTTGCGGTACCGGGGATTGAACTCACGACCTTGCGCTTGACAGGCAGGCACTTATGCCACTGAGCTATATCCCCAGCCCCTCTCAGCCTTGTCTTTATTATTTTGAGACAGAGTCTTGCAAAATCTCTAAGTTGCACAGGCTGGGCTCAAACTTTCGATCCTCCCACCCCAGCCTCCCAGAATGCTGAGGTCACAGGTGGGCACCATTCCCGGCTTAAACCTATGAGAGATGGTCTCACTATGTCATTCAGGCTGGCTTCAAACTCTTGCAGCAATCCTCCTGCCTCAGCCTCCCAAGTGCTGGGATTACAAGGGTGCAACACCGTGCCCGGCACCCTCTTGTTTTTATATTTGGTTGCGCCCTGTAGAAGTTGGCCATGCCAGTCCCGTCTGCCGCCCTCTGCTAACATTTCCGTGGTTTGAGAGATCGTGGCTCTAAGGTTCCCGTGTTCATGGCTCATCCCACTCCTGTGCCTTAGGGGCGCTTTCTGTGCATGTGGTGCCTGCACAGAGGAAACAGACCGTGCCCCGACGCTGGGGCTCACATTGATGGCGGGAGACAGAATAAATAAAGCAACAGAAATGAATTAACCATGGGTTGTGACACCCTATGTGGGAACACCAATAGGCGACAGTGTTGGTCAGGCTCTTGCTCCCCACTGGACAGCCTCTGCGGGACAGGATGTGTAAGACTTTGAGGAAGTCAGATCTGCGGAGGCCAGGACAGAGCTCCGGGCAGAGCAGGTGGCAGGTGCAAAGGCCCTGGGGTGGGAAGCTGGGAGAGGCTGGCCTGGATGTGTTCTGGCTGGCTGTGACGGTGGTGAGGAATGGGAGTGAAGTGGGGAGAGATATGGATGCATCTGCAGGACCCAGGTAGGACCTGCAGGCCGGTGGCACTCAGACCTGTTGGCCTCAGGAACCTTTTCCACTAACAGTTACTGAGCTGGGCTGGTGGTGTATGTCCATAGTCCCAGCTATCAGGAGGATCACTGTGAGTTCAAGGCCAGCCTAAATGACATATGGAGACCCTGTCTCAAAAAAAAAAAAAAAAAGAAACAAAAGATAAAAGATACAGTGTCCTGGGGCAAGCAGGGCCGGGTAGCACTTCCCCAGGACAGGCAGAGCTGAGACACAGCACTGGCCGGGCCTGAGTCCAGGCTTCAGGAGGGCATGTGGAGGGGGCACTGAGCTGAGGCTGGAGCCCAGCAGAGGGGCAGCCTGGCACGTGGGGCGGACGGCGCAGAGGAGGCTGAAGAGCTCAGGGCCTAGGTCACTTAGGAGACAGGGAGCCGCTCCGTTGCCAGCAGCCTCTGTAACTCACCAGACACGCAGATCCCAGACCGGGTGCAGCGGCACTCGCCTGTAACCCCAGCACTGGGAAGGCTGAGGCAGGAGGACTGCAAGTTTGAGTCCAGCCTGGGCAACTCAGTGAGTGAACGAGACCCTGTTTCAAAACAAAAACTAGAAGGCTGGGGATGGAGCTCGGTGTGGAGGCCCTGGGTTCAATCCAGTAGTGGAAACAAGGAAAGGTGGATTGCCCAGGCCCCGGCCAGTCCCGGCCTCCGTGGGCTCAGGCGGGCCGCTCCTCTGCAGGTGCATGCATACATCATCAGCTACCTGAAGAAGGAGATGCCCTCCGTGTTCGGGAAGGAGAACAAGAAGAAGCAGCTGATCCTCAAGCTGCCCGTCATCTTCGCCAAGATCCAGCTAGAGCACCACATATCCCCCGGAGACTTTCCCGACTGCCAGAAGATGCAGGTTGGTGCTGACGGGAGGCTGGCTGGGTGACACAGAGGGCGCACCCTCTGCAGCCTCTGGGAAGAGAGTGGGGGCTGTGTGTTTCTGGAACGCGTCTTCCGAATGTGTGTCTGTGGGAGCTCGGCTTTATGAAGTAGGATAACAGAGTGAAGAAAAGACACACAATAACAGTGGCTTAATTTAGGGTTTTGTTTTCCCTTCGCCTTCAGAAAAGGCCCAGAACATGACCTGGGGCTGATTTGGTGCTTTATGGAGCCAAAGGACTAGTCTTTCTTATTTCTTCTCTGTATTTGGCCTCCACTCCCAAGAATCCTCACAGTACAAAATGGCTGCAGAAACTTTAGCCATTGTGTATGCATTCCAGCCAGCAAGAGGGGAGGGAGGGGAAGAGAACAGTTACTTTAAGGACCCTTTCTGGAACAGTCCTAGTCAATAGTACTTTCTACCGTGATGGAAATGTTCCAGGCTAGGGGCTGGGGATTTAACTCAGCGGCACACCGCCTGCCCAGCAAGCGCAAGGTCATGAGTTCGATCCCTAGTACCGAAAAAACAAACAAACAAAAAAGAAATGTTCCAGGCTGGACTGTCCAATATGATAGCCACTGGACACATTAAAATTGAATTTTAGAGGCAGGCATGATGGTGCATGCCTGTAATCCCAGTTATTTGGGAGGCTGAGGCCGGAGGACCATAAGTTTGAGACCAGTCTGGACTGCATAGTGAGACCTTAAGAAAAGGAAATTGAAAATAAATTTTTGAAAGGGCTGGGATACAGCTCAACTGGTATGTTTGATTTGTGGTGAAAGAGAGGGGAGGGGAACACGAAAACAATCTCTGATTACAGCTTTTTCTTTAATTTTAACTAATTGAAATAACCAAATGTGGCCAGTGGCTACCATATTGAACAGCATAAGCCTCCAAGTTGCCCCGGGCAACTGTTGCTTACACCCAATTGGTTGGAATGTAGTCACATGGCCAGCTGGCTGCAAGGGATGCTGGGAAGCGTAGTCTTTCTCATAACCAGCCACGTGCCACGGTAACTTTCAGAAATTCCGCACCGAGGAGGAAGGAACAAACCAACGTTGGGAGATGGGGCAGACTCCTTGCATGGTCAGACCTAGGACTACAGTGTCGGGGAAGGTGGTGGGCAGGGTGCGGCCAGGGCTGCTGTCATGTCGTGTGCCCACCCCCTTCCACAGGAGATGCTGATGGCCCACGACTTCACCAAGTTCCACTCTCTGAAGCCGAAGCTGCTGGAGGCGCTGGATGAGATGCTGACACAGGACATCGCCAAGCTCATGCCCCTGCTGCGGCAGGAGGAGCTGGAGAGCACGGAGGTGGGCGTGCAGGGCGGGGCCTTCGAGGGCACCCACATGGGGCCCTTCGTGGAGCGGGGCCCGGACGAGGCGCTGGAGGATGGCGAAGAGGGCTCCGACGAGGAGGCCGAGTGGGTGGTGACCAAGGACAAGTCCAAGTACGACGAGATCTTCTACAACCTGGCGCCGGCCGAGGGCAAGCTGAGCGGCTCCAAGGCCAAGACCTGGATGGTGGGCACCAAGCTCCCCAACTCCGTGCTGGGGCGCATCTGGAAGCTGAGCGACGTGGACCGCGACGGCATGCTGGACGACGAGGAGTTCGCCCTGGCCAGCCACCTCATCGAGGCCAAGCTGGAGGGCCACGGGCTGCCCGCCAACCTGCCCCGCCGCCTCGTGCCGCCCTCCAAGCGGCGCCACAAGGGCTCTGCGGAGTGAGCCGCGGCCGCCCGGCCCTGCTCCCACCCGCCCTGCTCTGGCTCCCCGGCTCCTGTTGGCTACACGCGCACCCCTGCTCTGACCCGCACACGCCACCCTGCCCAGCTGTGAGGACAGGGTCTTTCTCTCCTCACCATCAGACACTCGGGTCCAATCCTTTAGTGGGGACTGGGAGGAAGGTAAGGCTTCTCGCTGCCATGCTTTACACCTCGTGGCACATAAGGGCTGCACTGCACCCCACATACACATACATCTGGGCACATCACACTGACACTAATACACATGGGCACTGGCCCGCACATCATTCATTCTGATATTTATTGAGCACCTACTACATTGCCCGGCCCTCATGGAGCTGCCATTCTCAGGAAAGGGCGCCGATCACACAAAAGCACGCTGAAACAGCAAACTCCCTATGCCTCCTGCCCAGCCAGGCAAAGACTCCCACCTTCACCTGTCCTCAGGTCTTGGGACCACTGGGGGCCCTCAACCTTTCTTCCTCAGAGGCCCTTTTCAGCCCCCTCCCCTCCTTTTTGGGGAAAGCCCCCCCAATTCTGATCACACCATTTCTTTAATAAAGATCGCGTAGCAGGTAGGAAACCCCGTCCACCCCGGAGGGACCACGCCGCCGCGGAGCGACTTCCGTCCTCTGTCCACCACCTGCCCTGCACCGAGTGCCCAGCCCGCCCCGGGTCCCCCGCAGGCGCCCAGTTCTAGGACTGCTGCGGCGCGCCTCTCTGCCCGCACCTGAGAGGCACCCCTCCTGGATACAAGGGCGCCAGGGTGTCCCGTCCCGATTTCAGGAACACCCCGGGGGAGGGTTCTTGGTGCTACAGCCCTCTCCCCTCCATGGGACCCCCCCCGCCCCACTTTTCAGTCCTTCACCTTAGTGCCTCACCCTGGCGGGGGACCCCCGAGCTAAAGCTGGGGAGGAACAAACACCTGGGGCCCCACCCCCGCCCCGGCCACACCCAGGAGGGGCCGCACACCGAAGCGAGTCCCCACGGAGCGAATAAAGCCCAGGCTTCTCTCCCGTGTGGAAGTCAGGTCGTCTTGGGCGGGGGAGGGGACTGCGGGGGGCCAGGCCCCCCTCCGGGCGAGCAGGGGCGGGTGGAGCCTGGTGACTCAGGCCCGGGCTGGGGGCCAGGCCTGCATATTTTCCAAGGCAGTTACTGGGGGCCCGGCCCCGCGGGACACCCGCCCGCCGCGGGGCCTGGGAACCGAGCCGTGGGGCGTGGCCGGGGCGCACGCGTCCCTCCGCCCACGAGCACTGTGGGACCGGGGCGCACAGCTCCGATGAGCCACGCGGGGGATGGGGGCTC